CCATGTATCCTGCCATATTTAATTAATGTTTTCTTTAAAGAATGCTTTCAAGTCGGTGTCAAGATATTTCGTATTCTCTTCTGTATTTGGGTTAGTAGGTGTTTTTTTTGCTATTTTGTCTACAACCTTGTTTCCTTCGATTCCAGTATGTGACAGTACCCATATAAAATCATCTTTAATGTTCATATTTTCTGCATGTTTTAGTTCCTTTTTGTTGAGTAGGAGTTTTGGATGATTGCAATAGAGTAGGTTTAATGTTATTATTGAGCTGTGAGAATCGGTAATAATGATATTTCTGTTTTTATTTTTGTTAATAATCAAAACTAATGCTTTTAGTTTTGATTATTAACAAAGAAGACAAATGAGAAGCGATAAGAATGTAGATAGCAACACTTTAAGAAAAATGAACAAAACTGTTTCGAAAGCAATTAGGAGAGATTTAAGGAAATTTAATACCGATTATATTAAACGCACTATAGAGGAAAATAACAGCCTAAAAGTTCTACGTAGAAAGCTAACGAATGGGAAATGCGAAATTCATAAATTAAGAAACAAGCAAAATGAAATAATATCACGTAGAGACGAGTTAATACAGGTCGTCGAAGAGTTTTACGAGGACTTATATAGAAGTAGACGAGAAGATAAAACAGGAATACAAACAGCCATTTCAAAGAAGATCAAGAATCAAGGTTCCGAACTAATGCCAGAGATAAAGCTAGATGAGATTCGACAAGCATTAAGAAAAATGAAAAATAACAAAGCCCCAGGAGAGGATGGAATCGTAATAGAAGCTATCGTAAATGGAGGAGATATGCTATTAAATAAATTAAAGAAACTATTCAATCTATGTTTGCAACAAAGAGAGGTGCCCAAAGAGTGGAACAATGCTACAACCATCCTGTTGCATAAAAAAGGAGATAGAACGGACCTATAAAATTATAGACCTATTAGCCTGTTGAACCACATATACAAGCTCTTCACTAGGGTAGTGACATCAAGATTGGAGAAAAAATTAGATTTCTACCAACCGAGAGAGCAGGCAGGATTCCGCTCAAACTATGGTACCAATGATCACCTCCACACAGTAAAGGCACTCATTGAAAAATCTATAGAATATAACAAACCTCTTGTTCTCACTTTCATAGATTTTCATAAAGCGTTCGACACGATCGAATTAGACAGCCTTATAGAAGCAATGAATGACAGCAAGATTGACCATAGGTATAGTGAGCTTATTTATAATATTTACAAAAATGCCACTATGACTGTTAAAATAGACAATAAAACCCGACCAATAAAAATAAATCGTGGAATAAGGCAAGGAGATACATTGTCGCCGAAATTATTCATAACGGCATTAGAATATGCCTTTAATATGATCAATTGGGACCACAGAGGAGTAACGATAGACGGCGAAAAGCTTAACCATCTCCGTTTCGCAGATGACATTGTCCTTATCACAGATAATTTAGGAGAAGCTACAGATATGTTAAACGAATTGGATTTTGCATGTTCGAAGATGGGCCTGAGAATGAACTTGACCAAAACTAAGTTTATGACAAATTTGGTCCCCAATAACCATTTGACAATTCAAGACAAAGTGGTAGAACTGGTGGAGAAATATACGTATTTGGGTCATGAAATATAAGAATCAGCAGGGATAACCAAACATGTGAGATCCAAAGACGAATTACTTTAACATGGGCAGCCTTTGGCAAACTGCGAGACACGCTTAGGGCCAACATACCAATCAGCCTCAAAAGAAAAGTGTTTGACCAATGCGTATTACCGGTCATGATCTATGGGGCGGAAACTATGACTTTAACCAAGACCACGGCTTCGAAACTGAGAGTGGCACAGAGACGAATGGAACGGTCTATGCTGGGAGTGACGTTAAGGGACCGAATAAGAAACGAAGATCTGCGAAGAAGGACGAGCATTACTGATGTTGTGGAACGCATAGCGGAACTAAAATGGAACTGGGCAGGCCATGTAGCGAGAATGCACGATTCACGATGGACGAGCAAAATTACAAATTGGAGACCAAGAGCAGACAAACGCAGTAGAGGAAGACCACCTACACGTTGGGCCGACGACATCAGGCGTATCACTAAAAATTGGCAACAAAGAGCACAAAATCGTGAGGAATGGAGGAGTTTAAGAGAGGCCTATGTCCAGCAGTGGACGTGATAAATAGAGGCTGGATGATGATGATGAATGCTTTTAGTATCGCGTACAGTTCAGCAGAGAACGTTGCTGTATATGAACGTAATTTATAAGCTTCTGTATAATCTGGTAAGTAGATTGCTGCTCCAGTTTCGTCTTCGTTTTTGGAGGCATCGATGTAAACTTTGAAACAGCTACCATAATTGCTTAATATTTAAGAAATTCTTGATTAATTCCACTTGCTGGCGTTTCTGATTTGCTTAGGTGCAATAAGCAAGAGTTCTTACCGTTTTTCATTACCGTTTCTAATTCATCCAACGATATTGGAAAGTTAATTTCGCTATCATTTTGATCTACATAGTTTATTGTATATTTTTCTTTATTTCTTTTGTTCTTTAAGAAATTTGGTGAATAATTTGCATCGCTTGAGTTTTCTTCATAACCTAATGCCAGTAATTTAATAAAATGCACTGTTTTTAATAAAAGATTTCAAACATTTTACATCAATACACAGTTTCAATTTAAAGGTAAGTAGAAATAGTGGGAGATGGATTAAGAAAAAATATAAAGGATATGGGTCATGAGAATAGTTAAGGATGGAGAGGGAGGAAGTCACGATGGTACGAAACATAGCCATTAACACAGTTCAGACTTATCTGCTTTTCTTTAATAATTTCCAGATATTCATAATAGTCCAGTTTCAAAAAGTTTTTTTTAGAGGATATTGTGAATCAGAGATAAGTCGTCTAAGAAATTAGAAGTTTGGTTATATTCTTCATTCAATCAAAAGGTACCTGGTACACGTCTGGCTGAAAAATATTGGAGCGGCTATAGTAGAAACAAAGTAAGAGATACATTTCCCAGTAAGTCTATCTAAGGATGTCACAATTTTCCAGTCAAAATTAACGGCAATCCAACACTGCGTGAAAGAAATAGAAAGACAGGAAAGAACGTACAATTCACTGGCCATATTCACAGATAGCCAGGCAACGTTTAAGGCACTCGATTTTATAGAGGGTAACTCTAAGCTACTATGGTATTGTATCAGTGTGCTTAAGAAACTAGAAGAACCTAGCAAGGTTACACTAGCCTCGGCACCGGGGTAGGAGAGTCACAAAGGCAAGGAAACAGCAAATGAAATGGCCAAACAAGCCTCATCAATAACATTTGTTGGATTTTTGTGGCATTGCAAAAGTAGTAACGAGAACGGCTACAAAAAGTGGATAGCTTGCAAATCTTTGGAATAAAGGAGGAATTCACCAGGACAAAAACAGACGAAACGGTCCATTAGAGAGTATTCGCCACAAGTTATAGCGGACCTAATATGCAAAGACAAGAAAACAGTCAAAGCCATTGTAGGTCTGCTAACAGGCACTGTAAGCTGAATAGGGAGTTGAAGTTTTACTTCACTGTGCGAGTATGGCAAATTATTTAGCGGCATGAAAGGTTTAGCATCGAAGCGGTTAGATCTTTTAAAAAGGGTCAGGCGAGAGAATGTAATCTCGGATTAGAGGATTACAATAGATATAAAAAGGTCGCAGTGGAATATGCCAAATGCCACCTTATTCAATATATTTATCTATTAAGGTCCCAAGTTAACATGACTTAAAATTTCTACTAGTGTCGCTTTAGTACACGTTTTTTACACTCCCTTTTTTCTCTCATCAACTCCCATCAGCTGCTGATGACGTTTTATGAAATTTATTAACTAGTTTTAATATGTATAAGAGACGAAATTCTTAGCTGTTCTTTTTGCACTCTATTGGAACGATTTGAAAAAATACTTAATATGAGTTAATATAAAAAGAAACATCATGGATGCCCGAATTGTCTAATGAAATACCTATCTAATGAGGCGCCACACAAATATTAGGGTGGACTCTTTTGAATGGCAACCCTGTATATAATATATACTAACATTAACTGAAAATTTAATAAAGTAAAATAATTTAGTTTGCTATATTATTTACTTTCAAATTGATTAACTTAACTTTTACAATATCCATTTAATTTTTAACCCATCTATGATATAAAGCATATCTACAATTATATAATTTTATAACTCATTTGTTTTCTGGAGTGTTGTATTGTTTAAAGGAATAGTTTACCTCTATTGTAGTCTCATAAAAATCGGTTTGGGACTTATTTGGTATTCCAATTCGTATTTGTTATCATAATACAACAAATCATTCCGGTCACTTTTGTCGACATTAAAAATATCATATTGAAAACACATTTATCCAAAAGCAACGTATACTTCTTTTGGTTTTTAATCTAGATACAATTTGTTTGTAGCTTCTCGTGGTTCTCTTTATAGTAACTAGACTACTTTATGCTTTAATAGTCACCTTTTATATTTATTTCTTTTAAGTTTTTATTTCAAGTAAAAGCTTATAAATTTGTTTTGACTACATTCTAGTGTTTTAGTATAACAGCCAGCTTTCTCCCAAAAATTGCCATTTTAAAAACATTACTTTCACCTATAGAGAGCATATTCGATCAACCATAATCTTATTGTCATCAACAGTTAACAAAAAGTGATATCACAGTAATACTTTTCTTCTATCTGCATTTTAATTAGTGAAAATTTTTCAGAATCAAGAGTAGTCGACGGTTTGGTTTTTTGATTTTTTCCTTTTTTTATCACTTTTTAAATACAAACCTTTTGTTTCGATTAATCTTTTGGTTAAATACAATGGTTTAACGTTTCACTGGTTGGTTGTACATTCATCTGTTTATTATCTATCCTCTATTTTATTGTCTACTAGCTACTTTCATATTAATTGATCTACATTAAATAGCAAAGCAACAAATCTATTTCCTGTTTGGCTTACCTTAAGTCGTCTAGGTGACAATTGTTTGGGAGAACTCAAGGTTTGAGAGTCTTCTAGCTGGGGTTCTTCGCTGTTAAATACTTTGAACAGCTGTCCACCATCTGGGTAAGTTTCGTATATTCTTCTTTCTGGTTTACGCATATTAAAAAACTCAAAACTGAAAGATATAAATAATTCTTATTTAATATGCATTATATAATAGTGTTCAAATCTCTACAGTTCACAAGCAAAAATATGAAAATTTTTTATTTAGTCATAATAGTATTGAAATGCGTTTAGAATATTCTCCAGTATATATGTTTAATATATAACTAAAGATGCTGAAAAATTTAAAAGAGCAATCATTAGATTATACTATCTTCTTTCAGAGTGCTACGCAGTTAATTAACAAAGGTTGTGACATTTTTATTAATTCGTCCGCCCACACTTTCAAGATGCCATATCGCAGTATTTTTTACATGGGATAAATCGTTTTAAAGGCTATAGCGGGATAAGATGGTCAAAAGTGCCCCCGCACCAATCAGCACCGCGACTTGTGCTTTCAATAAAGCATATAAAAACATGACTTTATACAAATTTTTAGCTTCCCAGAGCCCATAGAACCTCTTAAATCTAAAAAGAAGCTTTTTTCGACTTTATTTTTTCTATTGTTCTGAAGCTATTTTCTTGTGGCATTGTAAATTAATTACTATTTATAACTGGGAATAAGCCACAATTAAAGATAAAAATACGTTTATTGACGTTTCAATTTCCAATTCGGAAATCGTTCTCAAAATACAAACAGTAAATTAAACAAATTTTGTTTTTTGTTACATAGTGAAAAAATTCTTCTAATAATTTAATTTTATCTGACTCATTTATATTGACAATTCAGACATACATTATGCATTTTAAAGTAGACGACTTTAAAATGATATTGTCAATATTGTTGAGTTGCGCTCCTGGAACGACTTTACTTATAAGATAGGTCATTCGATTACATGAAATCAACTTTAACTTGAGAATATCCGTCAGAAAAAATCATAGCATGTAATTCTTCTTTAAAAAGACAAACACATGACATGATGACAGTAAAATTCTCCTGTTAGTGATTCCATAGTAATGCTTTCTACCAATTCCTCTGCGTCCTTCGATTTTACCCATCATAATAAGTTGAAGAATATTATATCGGTCTCCCCTTACTACGTGTCCAAAATAGGTTATCTTTCTAAATTTAATATTATCAAGCAGCTCGCGAGCAGCATTTGCATTTGCATTTGCATTTTTAGTATACGTCTGTGCAGCCACATTTCAAAGGCCTCCAGACGATTAATGGTGGATATTTTTAATGTACATTTATTGTACTATAACGGGAAATTCACCTAGAATTATTACCGTGATGAACGGCACGTGGAATGCATATTATAGATTACTTTGTCGACTAATTTATCAATTCCAAGTAGGAAAAATCTTAGGATTTTGAATGTTGTTAATAAAAATAAATTTGAATTGTGAGTTCTTATTAGTTCTTACAAATATTAGTTTCAGTCAAGAAATATAAGTATACTTACATTCTAATACTTTTTGATCTGGGCACTCGTTCAATATTTACAAACTTGGCGGCCGGCCGGAAGCGACTGAAGAAGTAGACGTTTCGTTCTTCGTTTCCTTCGTTTTCGGCAGCCTCGATAATATGGCGATAGCTTTCCGACCGGTGGATCTTGATCGTCGCCGTAGGTGCTTCCGTCGTCGGAGTCGAACCGGCAGACGTTTGCGTACTCGCCGCCGCTACCGCTTCCGCCTCTTTTGTCTCGTCTTCTTCTAGTTTTGAATCGGTATCGAGACTTCGGGGATCCCTCGTCGAGCAGAGACTTTCCGCAACAGCCGAACATGTGTCAGCAGCATCTCCAGTTCCGTTGCCCTGCCCACAATGCAAGCACAAGGTATTTTGTAATCCACTTTTACAGCTTAGGACAAATATTTATTATATATTGAATTTAACCACAAGAAAATAAAAAATATACAAAAATTTTATTTTATGTTTATGAACGCAATTTGAAGTGCTAGGAAAAAAAAAGAAAAATGAAAATATACTTGAAGGAAGCAACATATATAAAATATTTAAATGTCTTACAGTCGCTTTTATTTCATTACCCCTTTATCACATCATGTGTCATAAATAGCAGAAACCAAAAAAATTTTTTTTTAATGTTTTACTCAATTTTTGTCGTAGATGCATGGCAGCCCATATCTGGCACGTACTAATAGTGTACGCGAGATATGCGGCATAGTTCTTATGGCGAGATAGGCAGCCGTGTGCAATTTCATTCTTGTTGAAAATCTGAACCATGTAAAACAGTGCTCGAAGTTAGAGGTTATTTTTCATAGTAAAAACGATTTTTACGGCGAGAAAAAAATTGAACTTTATTATATTGTGATATTAGATATCTGCTTAGGTAAGTAGTAAAAATTAAAAATGTTGAAAGTCTCTCGAAAACACCAAAAATGGTTTGTGCTATATATGACACACTATGAAGTTATGGACTCTGATTGTTTTTCTAGATATGGATCCGAAACTCTTTTATGGTATAATAAACGCAATTAAAATTCCAAATAGTACTAATAGTGAAGAGTCAGATCTCTCCGATGAAAACGACACTAATAAGATGACATTGTGTCAAGATAGTGACAATGAGGAGTGTGAAAATTTACCAAGCAATGTCAAGCAAACTGGCATTTTTGCCACATCCTCAGATTCCTCAAACAATGATACCCCTTTGTCTGAAAGACTATGATATAAAAGAAATATATCTCATAATTGGGTTAAAGGAAATCTGAGATCAGAAAATGAAACAAAATTTACTGGTTCTGAAAATTTACCTCCTTCGATTTTACAATTAGAAACTCCGGTCCAATTTTTTAAGTTTTTCTTTCCTGATAGTCTTATAAAGCATATCACAGGCCAATCAAATTTATACTCAATGAAATAACGTCCACATAAACCAGCTAATATAAAAAAATAGAAATAGAACAATTTATAAGATTTACAATTTACATGTCAATAATTCAACTTCCATCAACAAAACACTATTATAATGCCAATGTTGGCCACCGAACAGTTGGAACACCGAACAGTTAGCGATGTGATGAGCTGTAACAGTTTCGAAGAACATGATTGAAAATTATTAGCCTGGACACGACAGATTATTCAAAATTAGACCTCTTCTGAGCCAAATCAAAGAACGTCTACTTATGATTCAGAAAGAAGAATTTCTAGCTGTAGGTGAACAAATTATACTAACAAAAGCGCGAAGCCATATCCCAAAAAAACACATAAATGTGGCTTCAAAAACTTTGGACTGAGTGGTATTTCGAGATTCAGCTATAACTTTAATTTATTTGCTGGTTCCCAGAGTAATATTGTATCTCTAGGAGCACCAAATCTTAGTATGAGCAGCAACGTGGTTGTCAAATTAGAAGATTTGATACCAAAACATCAACATTACGAGTTGTTTTTGGACAATTGTTTCACCAGTATACCTCTTATGATATATCTAACCAAAGAGGGTATTTTACCTTTCGGAACAGTAAGACTTAATCGTGTTCCTCGAGTTGCGATGCCAGCTGAGAAAGAAATGAAGAAGCGCGTCAGAGGTTATATGGTAGAGAAAATTGCCAACATAAACATTGTGGATGTTATTGTAGTGTCCTAGTTTGATAATAAAATCGTTACTAAAATGTCCACATATTCGGGATGTGAATCAAAGGGAGAAAAAGAAGATTTTTTAAACAAGAAAGTATACATAAAATGATACCTTGTCCTAACAGTGTCCTAATCTACAACAACTACATGGGAGGTGTAGGTCTCCTTGATTCCATGTTGCGATTTTATCGTATAAAAAGCTAGTCGAAGAAATATTCTTTAGGAATATTTTTATATTTCATTGACATGATAGCCATAAACTGTTGGTTATTAGCCAAAAGAGCGAAAAAATGTTATTTACCCCTTTTGAATACCAAACTAGCATTAGCCGATGCTCTATGCAAAGTCGGAAAACCAATTAAGCCGAATAGAGTAGCAGTAAGGTAAAGTACTAGCATTCAGCAGATGTACAAGAACAAACGAAAAAAGAGACCAACTAAAGAAATACGCCAAGAAGACGTTCGTAAAGATGGGCTTGATCATTTTACCGACTGGGATGAGAGCACTAGGTTAAGATGCAAATTTCCAGGCTGAACAGGGAAAACATATATAGTGTGCACAAAATGCACAATACCGTTGTATAATAATAAAGAAAGAAACTGTTATTTGCAGTTTCATACTTTATAGTGTATACTGTAGCTTCAAAATAGTTTGACTTTAATATTACATTGTTACATGATGTTCCATATTTGGCACCAAAAATTTTTTTGTCGTCAATAAAGTTTTCCTTGTAGCTAGATTTTTTCCAATATTTTTACGTAAAAATAGAATTAAAATTTTTATCTGAGAATTTATTTTTGACAAAAAACAAAAATTCATGTGGTAAAGGGTTAAATAATCTCAGAAAGGGAAGAAAAATTTGAGAGCAAACATAGAAGTTGAGACACAACAATTGTAATCAAAAAGTTAAACTAATATATGAAAAATTGATAATCACACAAACCAATATCAGTATCAATATATCAAAAATTATTTCTAGTATTCTAATATTTTCGTTCCGTTTACTTAAAAACAATTCGCAAAATATTTTAAGTAGTTTGTGAAAATGGAATATTAAGATATTAAAGTAAATATATAACTTTGTGTAACAATAAAACACTGAAAACTTTGTTTTCAAACTTCCACAAAATTTATTTTTACTCTTATCACTAAAGGTGTTTCGGCTGATTGCCTTTCCCAAGTGATTTATTTTGGCTTGGCGTTTACACTTTATAGTCTCTAATGAAATAGGTTGAGTATGGGAGAACTGTTTTTCTCAAGTTGATCATTCAGAATTATATCTGTGTTTTTTAATTTGTTGATTTCCATAGATTCTAACAAACATAGCTTAATGCCTTTATTTGGAATGTGAAGAATTTTAAATTTATCATTAAAACATATAGAAGGTGAAGTGCGTATATAGAATCTGTTTTTCTATTATTGAAAGCTATAATTGACAGCTATATACACAGATATAATTCTGAATGACCAACTTGAGACAAACAGTTCTCCCCTCCTCAACCTAATTTATTAGAGACTATAAAGTGTAAACGCAAGCCAAAAATAGATCACTTGAGAACGGCAATCAGCCGAAACAGCTGTAGTGATAAGAGTAAAAATAAATTTTGTGCAAGTTTGAAAACAAAGATTTCAGTGTTTTATTGTTACATAAAATGAATTTCCATCAAGTAACGGTCGAATCCATCAATTATATAATTTTGTATTGCATAACATAAACAACAACTCCGAGAGTCATAAAAATTTGTTGTGGTGGAGAGGTTGCCATGCTCGATCGTTATTTAGCACAATTGTGTGAAAATTAAAAACAGCTCAGCTCACCATACAAGGCCACATCCGGGTTTCAATTGCTCTTCCCTTGACATGAAACGCTTTCGGAAACTATGGAATTAGATAGCGTTGCAGGCAATATTTCCCAAGATGAAAAGAAACTGCTAAAAATTAGTCAGCAAAACGCAAAGACCAAACAAAGCCAGTAAATAGGTATGGGTGGGATAACAAGCAAAATATCAAAATAATTCAGTATCTGAATTATTGTGAAGTATAATGCTTATCATACTTTCCAAAAATATGAAAATTTGTATGTATTTTATACAAAATACAATACACAATTGTATTGCTATGTCCAAATTTACATTTATGATATTCTACTCATCTCGGATAGGCCACAACTGACGAAATGTCCCTGAAGATGATCTATTGATCGAAAGTACTTGGGCAAGATTAAATTAATCACCGTGTTCGATAGTTGCCTTGTATACCTTCAAAGTCAAATAACATTTACCAACCGTCACAACATATTCCCACCTGTAAGAATGTAAAATATAAGAATACGAACAGCTAGATACCTTGACCTCCATCTTGACCAACGTCTCACTTGGAAGAAATATATCTAGATTAAAAAAAGGCAGCTCGACTTAAAATTTTGGGAAATGCATTGGCTCCTTGGACGTAAATCAAAACTTAACATCCAAAATAAAATTCTTCTATAGAAAGCCATACTCAAACATACCTGGTTCTACAAACTACACCTATAGGTGTGTGCAAAGCAAACGCCGTTGAATATTATCCAAATATTCCAGTCTAAAGTGCTAAGATCGTACCATGGTACGTAAGTAATCAAACACTCCACTACTACTTAAAGATTCCTTTCATCAGAGAAGAAATCCATCGAGCCACGGAATCACAAAATGAATATATCATTCACCATGAAAATGAGCTAGTAAGGTAATTATTTAACAATGGTCCAGCTACAAGAAGACAAAATAGAACCTATCCTTAAGACCTACTTCAAAACTAAACCAAAATAGAATAAGGTAAGATATAATTGGATGTCTCTCTTTTACGTCCAAAGCCTGTAACACTTTCATTTAATACTCTGTAATGATGTAGATTGTAAATAAACATAATGATATAAAAAAGTACCTGTGAAGTAAGATCTTGGACAAAGAAGCCCGACAACGCTAAAACCTACCAGAAATCACAAAAGCACAAAACAAAGCATGTAGTTTTTTATTTTATGCTTCGCAGGACTAAAATGGAAGACCTAAACGTAGAAATAAATAGAATATAATATACAAAACTTAAGAAAAATTAAATTATTTTAGGAAATATACTACAAATAAAAATGATTATACAGAAAGACATATACAAGATATTGAAGAACAAAGCGGCTTTCGTAGCGGGAGATCCTGCCTTAATAATATATTTATCCTTCGAAA